AAATTTATATAGCCACTATTGGTTTTACAATATGACTTATAATTGGGGGAATATGATACGATCATAACATACAAATACACTATTGATCATTGCGCTGGCCTTGACTTTACTGCATTACGTTCTTGTGTTCTTGCAAAGTTTTTTTTTTCAAGTTCTGGATTAAATATATTGTCATGGGAATTGTTAAATCAAATAACGGTTCAGATATGATTGGTCACAAAGGTTATATGTATAGTTTAGAATATGCCGGAATCAGTAGCGGATCTGAAGATCATTTGAGAAGAGGGCGAATTGGTATCATAGATTGATAAGTAATAACAAAGACGTAACTGAATACATATTTCCGATTTTYATGTTAAAAAAAAATACCTTTTATTGTATCATTTATTTTTGAGTTTAATGTTATAACTATGACATATGAATTTTATCATACGGTGCTATAATTTAAGTAAAAAATATTCCCTAGGGAGGGGTAATCGCCACGTCGCCCCCCTCAAATCCGCCACTGGCCGAAATACAATATTATATAGATTAGATGTACCAAAAAAGTTCACTCAATTGTCCTGCTATTCTGAGAACTTCAATTCTTAAAACCAATCCTGTGGTTACGTCGTCCCACGAGCATCTAGCTGAACCATTGCAAGTAAAAGTGACTTAAGTTATCGCCCAAATTAAAAATAAAGCTGCTCGTTCGAGTGAGDATCTGTCTCAGAATTATGTATAGATTATTATTCCGTGATGACATTATCATTTTGGTTTTTTTTCCGGGATTCAATAATTACAGATGTTAACCTACGTGTTACGTCCTACACAACACAATCATTTTATTATGCGATGTGCAAATAAAACACTAACAAAGCATTGTGTTACACATTCAATGTTTCGAAACACCTACGGCTACGCTATAAAATATTGATTATAAATATGTACTAGTATTTGACCTACATAAAAAATTATAATCCCGATGCAGAGACTTGAACGATGAAGTCCCTGCAGGTTTTTCTGCGGATTTTTCATAGCAGACCAGTCTTCTGTAGTTCTGTATGATTATGATTTTTTACATTATATTCTTCTCATTTTATCGTTTTACCTGCGTACTATGTGGTTTTCGCCGTGTCGGTGTACAGGAGGCACAAGTGGTTTCAATACACGAGAATACCATACAATATCATCGCAACACCAGCTGTGGTCTGTAAAACAGTCGTGGAGCGAAATAATTTCAAGTACCTAGGTATACGAGTATATACGGCCGGTTTAAATAAATATTAAGTTTATTACAGTAAATCCAAAAATAATACTAAATACAACTTTGAATATTAAATATTATAACTAGAATAATCTCAAGGCACTATATAAAAACTAACATAATTTTTTACATAATATGTATGACTTCAATAGAAACGTACATGATAACATTATATTATATGTACATATAGGCGTGACAATAATAATATTATATATAAATATATATAAAGCACGTATAATATAATATAATGGATAGGTATATTATTATTATAAATAGTTGGTTAATACAATGATACATAGTTTAATAGCTCAAGTTATAACTCGGTTTAGTTGTATAATATTAATAAAAAATAATGAAATACATAATACAAAATATATTATTACAAATAAATTAACACAGAGGAGTACACGAAGGCGTATGTTATATAGTGTATTGTATGATATTGTAWATAGATTGTAGAAAATAAAAGAAAAAAATTCAAACCAAAAGAAGAAATAAATGGCGGATAATATAATAATATTATGATAATATGCTGTACCTATACTGATAATAATATTGTTATGATATATAGGTACTGCAGCTGCAGTTCACTCTGCAGTATACATACAATGTTGTATACACATACCTATAATATTACATGTAAAAGTTGTTGTCTATACTGCACACCGCGGTGATGTCATCGTGACATTCCAAATTATATGCGTATACATATAGGTACTCGTAAAATATATATTGTCTACTGCAGCTGCGGATGACGTGGATGGAGAATCGTCGTGTTACATCACTGAATATATATATATATATATATATATATACACACACACACAGATTGGTAGGCGATGTGGTATTATCGTACGTGTACGTATACCACCTTCATAGATAAATATTATAAGTATTAAGCATACTGCAGATATTATCCATGACCACCATACCCAGAGCCACTCTATTCGTCTTGCTGCAAGTCGAGCTCCACCGGTATGGAGGTGGTGAACGTTGGTGTCTCCAGTTCCTCGTGTTTCTTCATCTTGACGTTCTGTAACATGAGATTCTATCAAAAATCGTATAATTTGAACGAGCGGCGGTTATGGCGGGGGCGACCGGTATAAGCGTTGTCCCAGTCCTCCGAGCCGGCATAATAATATACCTAATTAAATAATTATGATAATATACTTGATAAACTTAACATTTTTACATATTATTTTATCGCCGATCGTTAAAATTGTTATTATTACATATAATATAATAATATTATTATCATACACAGCATAATATCTCATATATACCAGTTTTAAGTAGGCACACGCTCGACCAGCGTCCGATTTGATATTATTTACAGACGTGCGTTTTGCGTGTCTTGTAAAATGATAATAATATTACTATTGTGAAATTTCTTGAACATTTTCAAGTCATACAAGTCGGTATTACATGACAAAAATTACATTGAACAATCTTTTAAAATTTTATGATCGTGAAAGCTATATTTGGTTCGGAATACTTTGAAGTTGGGGAGTCATATCAAATGTGTTTCGATGGATTTTTTCAGTAGTAATTTTTGTAACATAATATTATTAAAGTTTTTGAGCTAGATACAACTTTTTTTAAACTGAATCACGCAGGGTCGATAATATTTGTAACGTTTTGTTTATCGTCATTGAAATACAAAAAAAAAAAACATTTTATCATCATCAAATTTCTAACAAAATGCTCCTAAATATTTGTCGATTAAAAAATATCTGATATCTATGATTCCTCGATTTTCCTTATAAAGGAAAAATATTAAGTATAGCATATCACTTATAATATATTCGACCGACATCAATGGCGTAAGCCGATGGGGGGAGTGGGCTAATGTACTGACAAGCGCCCTATCCCCATTGCCGTATAATTATTATAGTTTAAAAATTATTAATCAAATTTCAATTATCGTCAACTAGTGATCAAGGACGTAAGTTCAGACAGGTACGTCTCCTGAGTTAGTTCGGGTTTTAAGATTTTTTACTGAACAAATAATTTTTTATTGATATTTTTAGAAAAAAATTAAATTTTCAAGTTCAATCGAAGCGAAGATGGAAAAAACAAGTTTACCAAACAGTTATAACAAATTTTCATTAACGTATTTATTTTAATTTTATATCTCTACTAGAAAAGTTGAGAAGTTTAAATTATACAAAGATTTACAAATACCTCACATAAACTTCTAACATTAAACTGGACAAATAGAAATAAAATAAATACAAYAAAATACATTTTCAAGCCCATTCCTTCAATTAAAAAATTCTATGTACGCCACTGGAACGACATAATATTTTTTTTTATCAAATATTTTGTTATAATATATGTACTATGATGACTATTAAAAAGTGCCTTACGGTATCAAAATATAATAATATTGATATATACCTGAGATGCAATTAACTGTAAAAAATGTATAATGTATGTTATAAGTATATAATTGAGTATTGTATTATAGAAGCAAGCTAATGACTCAGTTTTTGAAGCCTCATTCTTAATAAATAAAATAAAATAAAAACAGTGTATCAAAGGACTAGGATGTCGGCCTGCAGGTCGCACGTTATTACAGACCTGCTGTTGTTTGTAGTGGTTGACGATGTCTTGATCGGCAGGACAGCTCTGAGTGAACGCGTCTAGTTGGTACATGTGCAACATGTAACGCCACAGGTACCTCAGGTCGGTCGGCATTTGAAAGTCCATAAAGTATTTACCTGTGTAGAAGATGAACAAATGGGTAATATTTTGTATTAATGCCATTTATTTATTTAATTATTTTATAAAAAATTATATTTATGTCTAAACCAGCTCCAATTTTTTGTTTACAATATTCCGTACTGCATCACACAGTTATTTTAATTAATATACAGATAGGGCTTGGCTACTTAATAAATTAAAAATTAAAAAACAACAACAGCACATTATGATAGGTAGGAATTACTTAAAAAGCTATGTGAAATATCAATAACATAAAAATCATTTCAAACTTCAAATTATTAGAAAGGGGGATTTTTTTGAGGTATGTGAATGAAAAACAAATTAGTAATAATATGTATAAATAAATATATAAAATAACATTTATATTAGTAAAACAATATTTGAATTGTTAATTACTACCTCGGAACATAATGAAGAGCATTATGTATAACAGCAATAACAAAACAATAAAAATATACAATGTCAAAATATTTCGAAATTTTTTTGAATTACGGTATGCTATTAGTACGTAGGTACTCACTTAGCATACAATACCAGTCGATCAAACGAAAAAAAAAATATGCTAATATATAAAAAAWTAAAATGTACAAATCTCAGACCTATAGTTACTAAATGTAACCTACACCTAAACCTGGAATTGCATTTTTATATATCTCACTCATTATTATACAACAGGGTGTATTGATATATATGTATTGTATATCAATATCCCTTGTTATACAATATTGGTACCTAACCGTCCTAACCTATATAATAGGAGTCAATGGTATATTGTATATATAATAAAACGATGGTATAATAAAATTACAACTTACCAGCTACTCTAATGTGTTGTAGACGGGGCATCAACTCGCAGTCGAAACAACACATTGTGTCGCCGGTCAAAAACCGAGTGTTCTTCTTTTCTAAATGCAAATTTATCTTACGCAAATGAGACAACAGGCTATTTATGCTTACGTCGTCTTTTTTTAATAGCATCAGCTTCAGCTTCTACAAATCATAAAAGTTATATTATAGAATTGTTCGAAACTGTTATTTAAAAATAATCAATAACATTTTCAATCACATTAAACAACAAATTGCAAAAGGTATTTATATATTTAACGGTGATGGAGTGAAAAAAATCAAGTGCATTAGGTATACATATATATGGTCAACGTATCCATAAAGTGGAAAAAGAGATTCACAAAAAATATCGTGAAGTTCTTTTTTGTTTTAATTGTAGGGTAAAAATCATAAAAATTTTATTTAATTTTTCCTCTGAAAAATATTTAAAGTTTAATTTGAACTATAATCACTTTAAAAATTTGACAGTCCTTAATAAATTAAACTCAAATATTCACACAAGATTTTATTTTTATTTTTAGGTATAAACGTTTACATACTATACCTAACAGTAATTTTATTTAAAACAGTTGATTTATATTATATATAAACGTATTATTCCACTGGTCACCAATAAAAACTTAAACGTGTATGTGTTGTACTATCTATTATGTACTTCATATTTATCAATCGGTCACAGCAGTGGATTGTATCTTTATTTAGTATACAACTATGAACACATACACAAGTACTATTTGATTATTAAATTTAATACTAGTACAGTTATAAATTGAATATGCTTGACGAGAATCTTCATTTTCGGTAGATACAAGGAAATGTAGGATTGACATGCATAGGTACARCTTTATTATTACTAACAAGAAATAAAAAATATCTATATTTAACGAATTTACGTATCTCTATAAATCCATATAATATTATAACAATGTATAATTAATAATTAATAGAAAACAATTGTTATTGCTTTATTAAAAACGAATCTGTGTATAATAGAAACATTAGAAACTCGAAAATTTTTATATACCTACACAAGTAGTTTTTTTAAATATTGATTTCCTGTTTAAATTAAAATAATTAAAATTATCAGTATTATTTGTCTCAGCTATTTTAGTATCTAATAACTATCAAATTCTAATTTTTAATTATGCACTTTTGCAATTATACTATAGTTTGCAATATTAGGAAACGTGATAGTTGTCGACTATCAAATTTCCTTATATTATGACAAAATATATGCCCATCACATTATTGTTATTGAAATAAAAATTTAAATACTCAGAAAAATAGTATGTCAGTTATGGAAAAAAAATTACTTAGGTAGTGAATCACGTGAATAAAATGTTTTAAAATGAAACACGTATTGTTATTGCTATAAAGGATAATATCAAACTTGAAATATCTATATGACAAAAAATTGATATGTACGCCAATAATTGATGAACCTTTGTTTTTTTGGTCGAGGTTATATTTTTTACTCGTATTACTACAACTGCTCACCATAAAAATAATTATAGGGTTATTAATTGTGTAAAATTATAACTACAAAATAGCTTTAAATATTACGCTGCAAACAGAAAATTATTTAATTTTGATAAAACAAGTACATAATGATATAAATTGAATGTTATATAGTCATGTCTAATAATTTATCAGATTTAGGCAAATTATGGTATAATATGCTGAAAAAAAAAAATCATACCAATAAAATTGAGAATTCAGTTTAATGTTTAAAAATCCAATAGTATAATTGAGGCCCATAAAGGGGAGAATTATATTTGAACAAGTTGAAATAACAAAGATATTTACTATTTAGGTCGAACGTCATTTTTTAAACATCATAGCACTCTCTCTCTCTCTTTCACGCACACACACACACACACACACACACACACAAACTATATATACATGCGAATGCCTAATGCGAATGCGTATGCGTATGCACAGTACGTAGGTTCGTGTGTCGGAATGAACGAATGTATATAATCTAAAATGAATGTTGTTTCGAAACAAATAGAGGGCTGTAGTTTAACAAAGTTATACGGAAATTATTCTAGATAATTGATGCATTGTTCAAACAGTGTTAAACAATCTTCACAACAGGTTGTTAGGAAATATTGTATTTCAACAGTCATAAGCCAATGATAGACGCATATAGTGACTAGTGAGTGAGCGAGAGAGAGGTGATAAGAGCTTTATTGACAGTAAAATTTACWGAGTAACATATGTACATGTATAATATACATTGACTGCTTTCCGTACAAGGAACACTTGCACATGTCATGCACATGTAAGCGACAGAGTATATATTTTCCTTGTAAAGTATTCAAAATAAATTCTATCCCTGATATTTTGCAAAAATTATAACCTTCGCATATCGATATAAAGAATTCACATGATGTCGTCTGTAATATAAATATATACAATAAAAACAATCTTTTAATTATTTAATTTAAAATTCAATGGGCACCAATAAAAAAGTTTAATTTGTTTGTTTTTTTTTTTACCTTGCATACATAATATATGTGCTTTATTGAGTATTGAGTATTATTAATATGATATTTGGGCCAAATTATATAATATAGAAATAGTGTACACGTGCAACTATTTTATAAGAATTTATTAGGTACTTTTTGTTTCCTCAGCTGGACAATTTTTTGCATAGTATTCTGATGCTGATTATCTTGCAAATATAAAGCGTATTGACCAATGCCAAAATCTATTTTAAATGCCAAAACTCGAATATAAGTAAAAAATAAAAATAAATTGCAAAATATTTACTTTAGACTGGCAATAATTATTTTATCACTTTATATATATCATGATCTCATATTAAAAATATAAAACGCGTGTATATAATTTATGGTTGTTTTTCCACAACGTAAATAAACATAAATAAATATACATATATGAATATGTTTCAACTTTATGAAACATAAACAATAATTAAACATATAATATAAAACTATACTATCAGTTACATGATAAATATCATATATATTTTTTATAGAAACTAGCATTGTATCATCCAAAGAAAATTCCTCCTATGTGTTTATTCAATTTTATAGATTTACGATCTTTATCCTTGTGGAATTACAATTCAGCAATATATGAAGTACAAAAAGGAGAAACAGAAACCAGATAAACTACTTTTTTATCACACGTGTCATTTCTAAGCTTCCGGTGAATAACAAATGACACAAATGGAAAGTGAATTGGTTGATGTTTAGGAACTACTCTACATAGGTATGTTTATGTGCTACGATATTTAATGACTTAGAATAGGACCATCTAGTTTAACGTACACTGTACAAGTTTTCAATCAGCGTGGCCACTTCTTTATCCTGCACAAATAGATTGTATCCACCTGGTACGTTCTTCATGATATGTCTTTCGATTTTTTCATTCTCCAAAACAGCCATTCCATTGTCTATTAAAATAGGTGGCGGATTCGCATCAAAGTTACTCCTTAAAATCAAAAAAAAATATTCATTATATAAATAAAAATCAACAAAATGCGAGATCTAACAGTTACTATATACCGTATTTTTATACATCTACTTTTATATGGAAACTACTGGAACCTATTAGCATAATATAAGTAATACGTGCCAAGGAGGGCGTTTAATTTTAGTAAAACCTACTGAAATATTTAAAATGGTAATTTGATTAAACAAGATATTTGCTATTTTTTTCAATCTGATTATAAAAATATTTTATTAAGTATTACTTTAAACCAAACGTAAAAAAATTGGTTTTGAATCACCAAGTACAATCATTTCACTCATCAATACATTTCAAAATATTTTAATTGTCCACTTAAATTATATTTAAACATATTTACATTATGTTTACACATAGACACAGACACAGACACAGACACAGACACAGACACACAGACACACAGACACAGACACACAGACACACACACACAGACACACACACACAGACACACACACACACACATCAGTTTATTACGGACAATAGTATTCATTTTAGTCATCTGATTAAGGGAAATTATTGCAATTCATAACTATTGATTAAATAAACGTTTTTATGTCTACTGCAGTTTTACACTAAATACCACATTAAATAAAATTACCTGAAATCGGGAGGAGGTTTTTGCATATCTACTGTAGTGACTTTAAGACTGATGGTTTTTAGCTCGGCAAGTAGATATAGGTCCATGAAATATTCTTGGCAAAATAGACATGCTCCTTTTCGTCGACCGTCAATTGTTGAAGCCTGAATTAAATGAATTATATTAATTATACACCCAGTTTATAAATAAAGTTTTGTAAGCGTATCATTTTATATACTATGCCTAACTAACCCATAACCTAATGACTGCAGAACACTAATTTGTGGATCGTTAATTTTACACCAGCATCAATATTAAACTGTGAACATCTTTTAGGTCATAGTAATTATCAAGCAATATTAACAAAAACAAATAATGTATGATTAAATATAAACTGTAATTATAAACTATTAATTATATTCCATTTTCATAGAAGGAACGGGTAGTGTTAAACCAGTTATCCAATWACTATATATATGTACTATAATGTAATCGAACAGATTCAAGCAAACAAATATGACTCAATTTAACTATTACACATTATTAGAATTTATTTTCTTAACGTATTAGTCATAACTCATAACTCACGCTCATAAACTATTGCAAGAGACCAAAATATTTTATTAATATAATTTAAAAGACCAAGAAACATAATATTATAATATTATATATATAGTATAATTTAAATTAATAATAATAAAAATAATATCTAATAATCAAATACGTAATCAGAATATTATGGTTATGTTTTTACAAGTTTCATGAATGATAATATTGAAATACAATTATAATATTTCGTATATACTTTGAGAACTCCTAAGCTACTATTATGATCAAAGATGTATGACGCATTAGATATTAGTTGGAAAGTGCTAGATATTTAGTTCACAACAGCGAGTATTGTTAGGGGTTAAACTTACGTTCAATTTAATATGTATATGTTAATTTAAAAAAAAATAGGTTAGATTAATATCATCGTAAATTAATAGTGTAAAAAATAAATGTAAAAAATAATGTATTTAATATTAAGTTTTCGATTTGAAAACATACATTTGTAAAGTGCAAATATTTATTTTCAAGCGAATGAAAATAAATAAAAATTCAACACTCAAACCACAAAACTTTACAAGTGAAATATGTGACCTGGGATTGCTTACGATAATGACTAAGCAAAATTAATTATTTTTATGTGTTATATTATAATTTATAATGATGAACTATAAATACTAACAAATCTAAAGTTATGAGTAGATAATATTAAATGTATTGTATGTTATTATAATATATAATATATTATAGACAAATTTTATATTGACTATTTAGTAGTTACTATTATACCTACTTCAGAAAACCGCATAACACTACAACATCTTTAATATTACATTATATCACTTGGTAGTATTGGAATAAACATTGAAAAGTTCAACTGACGTATACAAATAGCCAATAGGATGACTTTTTTAATAGTTTTAATAGGATATTATTTTTATGTTGTGTTATCCAATTAGAATCTAACGTGGATAAACAGCTACTATAATATGGTATTATGGTAAATAGTTAAAACACATTTTATCAGTTTCTTTTCTCTCTTATATTATTTGAGTATAGAGGCCAATACCATTTTATAATAATAATGTGTTTGATCTAACGTTGCAAAGTAACCAGCGCACTATTTTTGAATTTCTACGTAATACGTAATTTATACAATAGAGGCTAACCACTATTGTTACAATAGCAAGTTCACCAACGAACGTGCATATATTTAAACATAAAATATTTTTGACTAAATTTTTGGTTAAACATTTCTTTGGTTTGCAGTACAGGGTCATGACCCGCGGACTACGGGTGGAAGGTAATCATAATATCATAATATAATCATAATCATTATATTCGAATGAAAGCGACAGTTTTAAGARCATATAGGTTATAATGTTATAAAATAAGATCGTAAAGTTTGTAGTAAAGGCGACAAACTACTTTCACAATTTCTTTACACATCCCATAACTGGTTTTTATATTTTTTAAACTTGTTATCTGAGCCTATATTATTTCATATGTACCTATATAATATAATATACATTATACATATAAGACACTTTACAGTAGAGGCATTATATATTATAGCGTAGTGTTGCCAATGTTGGGAAACATTCTGTGCCATGAGACCCTCGGGGTGATATAATAATATATAATAATAAGTTCAATAACAGTTCGCGGAAATATTTTAAAGCGGTTTTTATATACATATATGGTTATGCACTATACGTATAATATGACCTATCTCAACCTAACACTTCAAATATATTTTATATTATCTATGATTTAGTTGCTTACTTGCATACATAAATTACACTGTTAAACAGAATTACGTAATATAATATTCTGCATAAAAACTACAACATTGGAACTGGGGTCAATCATTGCCACAAAAGTATAATATAATTAATAATGTTTTGACATAGAAAATTGTGAACTTAACTTTTAAATTAAGCATTAGTAAGATAGACAATTATATTTTATATGATACAATTTATACTCAATTTGCAAATTATTTTATAATTTAAGTATAATTATAATAGTTTAATAGCTACGAATTGAGCATTTGATAAATATAAAGTTTCTCATAATTTGATCTTTTTTTTTATAATTTTTTTT